TTTATTTTGTAAAATAAAAAAATTTTTTTTTTTTTTTTTAATCTTTTTCTCAGTTACTAATGAAAGTAAAATTTTTGACATTGATCGTCTGACTTTTATAAATGTTGCTTCCATTCTTCATCACCGGGTTTTACACAAACCTTTGGATTTCATGTTGTTATTGTTAATTCAAAAGAAAATTAAAATGATTTAAAGTAATTTGCATGTTATAAAAAGCTAAAATAAAATAAAATATAAATATTAGATGATAATCTTAAACTTAAAAAATAAACAACTTAGAAATGGTTGCTTGGCAACTAACTGACAAATGACAAAAGCACATACTGAAACAGAATTACTAAAATTAAAATGAAAACTGAAAATATGAAAATGAAAGCTAATCCAAAATATTAATAAATAACATAGTAGTATATAAATAATATTTAAATATAACTGATTCATGCAGCTCATTGCATGAAAAGCAGGCCATCATTTCTGAAACTCATGTTAATTTATCAATTCAAATTTTCAGTCATTGCAATGCTGATAATATCATTTGTAATAAAATCTTGCATTAAATTTGTAAAATGAAAACAGTTCAGATTTTCACTAGTGGTCTCAGACTTTTGGACCCTATTGTATATTTATCAGGAAATGGAATTTAATAGTTATTCAGTTATCTATAGTTTGAACATTTTTGCCCAGTATTTTAAATGATGTAATTTGCTTAAAGGTCATTGCAATACTGACTACTGCATTTTCCTCCCTCAGTGAGCCCAAACCTTGGCGTGCTTCCATGTAAAATTCCCTGCGCCCTGCGAACCAGCTGCGCCAACTGCACCAGCCAGGCCATGGAGTGCATGTGGTGTGGCAGCACCAAGCGCTGTGTGGATTCCAATGCATATGTCATCTCCTTCCCATACGGCCAGTGCCTTGAGTGGCAAACTGGAGACTGTGGTGGTGAGTGCACTCTTGTACCATCGAGGACACACACACGCATTAAGATACATGGCAGACTAGAAGCTGGAGCTATGAGTACACACTATTCTGGTGAACACACACACAGCTTCTAACTTGCTTACTTTCCGCCTTCTCATTTTTCCCTTCTGTTGTGAGCCTAAGGCGAGATTGAGTTCTGAGAGAGCAGATGCTGTGAAAGCTCAGCCTGCTGCACAGGCAGGTATCAAACTCACTATAAACTCCTGTCAAACTCTGACTGGCCTCCACTGGATAATCTATAAATGATCAACGTCTGTCTAGTCTTGCACATGAGACAGAGACCCTGAACAAAGAGATAAAATTATTTCTGATCTTAGTCTCAGACCTTTCATCTTATTCAGACTTTTGACTTGTGGTGTAAAGTCTGGTCTGCATCGCAGGTTTTCTGACCAAGAACTGCCTGCTTAGACAGCAAGAGACTGATTTTCATGTAAAGTGACTAAACACTATTTGTTTTGTTTTTATGTGCCGGTCAGTGGTGTGGTTTTCTAAAACAAATTCAACACTGCAAAAAAAAAAAAAAGACTTAAAGGGGTAGTTCACCCAAAAATGACAATTCTGTCACAATTTACTCACCCTCTTGTCATTGCAAATTTCTTTTTTTTCTGTTGAATGCAAAAAAGATATTTTGAAGAATTTTGATAACAAAACAGTTTTAGTGACCAATGACTTCCATTGTATGGACAACAAAATGAGACATTTCTAAAAATATCTTCTTTCACTGTGAAGTTACATTATTTTTCCGTTGTAGTGCCACCTATTGGTAAAATTTGACGCAACTTGGCATGCAACTTAGCAAACAACTTGTCCGGTTACCTATGTCTGTCAGGATTCATTAAGTTTGGACTTTGTGTTCTGTAGATATATGTCAATTCATTCAAATTTGCAGTGTGTCAAGAGTTGCTGTGTGCAAAATTTGCTAACGATCGGATGAATGGTTTAGATAGAAGGATTAGAAGGAGTTTAGACGTTTTTCAGAAAATTAAAGATTGTGGAAAAAAATTATAGACAAAAATGAAATGTAAGAATGAATAACAAATTTTCAAAGAATTTAGATTTTACAGTTCTAGAAATATAAACAGAAATGCGCATGTATTTATTATAGTGCCATCTAGTGTCAGATGGATATGTGAGCATGCGCTCGCAGTAGGATTTCTGGGATTTTTCACTAGGTTTGGTGTCTCTAGGACTTAAGTTTCTGAGGTACAGACACGTTTAGGGCAGAAAAAGAATACTAATAATACAAATAATAAGAAAATCGGAAAACAAACCTGATATGTGGGGCTTGGACCCCCAAATGTTTATTTATTTCTTTTTTTGCAGTAAAATAATGGCATGGCTGTCTCTGTGAAAAAAAAGAAAATCTGAATACATTTTAACAGATTTGATGTCAGTAATCTGGCAAATCTAGAGAATATTCCTTCATATAAATGATTCATTTTATCAGTTCAGTTCCTTGTAAACGCAGTTCTGTTGTTGAGATGTTTTTAAGTGCTTTTATTTCTGAAGTTGTGTAAAGCCAGCCAATCAAATTTGAACCGGTGATTTCAGCCTTGCCATTTCTATATGCATCATGCGTTAGATGAGCATGGCGTCTTGAGTCTGAGGCTGTTCAGATCACTGCTCAGTCACTTTATGGTTTAACAGCTGCTTTAGTTCCTTCTTTTTCAGAAATATCCCGATACACAAGAGCGATATCATGTGGTCCAAAACAACACAGAATCATGCCAAAGTATCTGAGATGACTGATGGTAATCGTCTCAGAAAAGCCTTACACTCTAAAAAATGCTGGGTTAAATACAACCCAGTGCTGGGTAAAATAGGGACAAACCCAGCAATTGGGCTGTTTTGACCCAGCGGTTGGGTTAAATGTTTAACCCAACCTTCTGGGTAGTAAAACAGCCCAATTGCTGGGTTTGTCCCTATTTTACCCAGCACTGGGTTGTATTTAACCCAGCATTTTTTAGAGTGTAGGAGTAGCTGGTGCGGACCTACCTTGTATAGTCATCAGCAAGTTTGTAGACGCATGGAATCATTCTTTCTTTCTGCATTAAGAGTCACTGGAGCTGGCATCATAATGCTGCGTAAATGAGCAGCTGCAATGGGGACGAAAATGAAAAATAGAAATGCAGTCCAACTGCGAGGCATAATGCTTAATAACCAACATAGTTCTTCAGAAAAAAATACTACTGCAAAAACCTGATAGGCGAAATTGCCTGTCTGTAGTGTCTCAGGAAGTGGGAAGCCTTTCATGGCCTTGAGACCCTGAGACCATGACCTCCACTTCCATTCGCCATTATAGAGTTACACAGTTATTACTGTTCTTTCTCTGTGGATGTGCTGGACATTGATTTTGTCTGGACTGCAGGGACTAAAGGCCTCCAGTGCATTGTTAAGTTGGATGTTGATGGTTGTATTTCATTGAGGCGATCTGTCAGACAATAAACATCATTAAGGTCAGCTCTCTGATGGAAGTCAATTGCTGGATATCTTTTCCTCCTCCAAGGAGTCAGTTCATGGGCAAAGCATATATTTTCCTGGGTGAATCTTTGGTGTGAAAGGCCCCAGAGATGTACCTGTTGTGATGGAGGATAATTTAATTAGAGAAAGTGCAGTTTTCATATTTAAACAAAGCTCCAAACAGAGATAAAGAAAGTGTGACAGCACGATAATATACACTTAATCAAAATGGAAATTAACTTCTTCACTGGCTCAATATTCTCAGCAAATATAGCCTTTTGAATTTAGAAGTTGAGATAATGGAAATACCATATTGTACATTGCACCAGCATGTTGAACGTCGGCCGCATCCATTGTGTTGTACTGTTACAGTACGAATGAATTTGAAGTCTTTTTTTGTTTTCAAAAACGTTCTAAAGTCTTTGTTATTATTCAGTCTTTAAACACACAGACAAATGTGTGTATGTTCTTCAGGCAAAAAGTAAGTCTGTATGGTGAGCAGCTCTTTTTTTCTGTCATCCTCATCCTTTCTGTCAAAAATTATCTCAGCAACAATTCTCTCTCTCTCTCTCAATTCAATTCAATTCAATTCAAAATTGTTTTATTGGCATGACTGTAAATGATACAATATTGCTAAAGCTTAGTATACATGTACAAAAAGATAAAAAATAATATTATAACATCTTAGAAGTATTAAACTGTAACAAATTATAACCTATCTCTCTCTTTATATATATATATATATTTTTTTTTAAAGTCACTGTCACTGGACTGTCCACATTAGAAAACTTCCTCTCCTAAAAGAAAAAAAATAAGAAAAACAAAACATTTAAATTATGTACACTACTGTTCAAACGTTTGGGGTCAGTCTCTTATGCTCACCAATGAACATTGATTAAATATACAGTAGAAGCAGTAATTGTTACGGAAGGAGACTCACACAGAGGAACAAAAGATGGCATCTGACTCCTTACTTTCCCAATAACTATTTACAATATTCACAATAAATATTTACAAAGAAACATCAGGTTCAGAGGGATAATCCAAAATCAAAATCGTACAACAGGCAAGGGTCGGGTAAGCCAGAGTACCGTTACAAAAGAATAAATATCCAAACAATCTCTCTATGTTAAGGAAGGAGACTCACACAGAGGATTAGAAAAATGCAATATTGTTTATTTTCAGCAAGAGATGCAAATGATTCGGGCAGGTGAGTATTTGAGCTTAATCTCAGTCTTTAAGGAAGATGAGGAGAGTAACACCGTATTTGGTCCTCACAGGAGATCGTGGAAGGGAGACAGAGGACTGCACACACCTCAGCTGAAGAGTACACAGAGTTTTCACGGAGCTGATGACTGGAACAAACTAGGGAATGGAACATAGGAGAACACACTGGAGGAAACACAGGAGGTAAGTATAACAGGCAGGTAAGTCTTTCAATGTATCTCACGGATAGCATAGAGAGAGAGTCCACTTCGTTGAAACGAGACCGGACACTGGAGTGAAGTGAGGTGTGTGCTTTTGAAGGAGAGCTGATGATGATTGCAGATTTGTGACAGGTGCGCGTGATCAATATTCAGGTGCCCCCCCCCCCAAATCTTCTTGGGGAAAACTAGGTATCCTTGTGGTCACTCAGGAGGAGCGTGCTCTTGAGGGCGCTCTGGAGGAACGGGCACTGGAGGGCGCACTGGGGCTGGGGCCGACCCTGGAGCGAGCTCTGGGGCTGGGGCCGACACTGGAGCGAGCTCTGGGGCTGGTGCCGACACTGGAGCGAGCTCTGGGGCTGGAGCCGACACCGTGCAGAACTGGGTATCAGGAGCCCTCCCCGGGCTTAAATGGGGGTCAGGAGCCCTCCCCGGGCTTAACTGGGGGTCAGGAGCCCTCCCCGGGCCCAACGGGGAATCAGTTGGCTGACTTGACTGGGGAACTGCCGGCTGCCTTGGGTGAACTGCGGCGAGCTTGCAGAACTCCCCGGCGTACTCGTAGAAGGGGAGATCCCGGCGAGCGAGGGCGGAGAAACACGCAGCAGATTGCATGCCGTGGGGAGAAACAGGGACAAAACAAAAAACTTAAAAAAAAACGGAACTAAAACGGGGAGAGGGGACGCCGCTTACTTCTTGCTGAATCCCTTTGGGGTCCGGTCTTCTGTTACGGAAGGAGACTCACACAGGCTTTTCACTTTGACTAACCTTTCTTCTCTTGGCAAGTTTTGGACTTGGAGTGAAGGACCTGCAGCGCTTTTTCAAGTTAACTATAGAAAATGGGTAATCTGACAAGTGTGGGAATGGTAAAAAAATGTGGTAATGAAAAGTAAGAGATGCCAAACTCTGGAGTCCCAACAATATCTTGGGCTGATTTCAGTGACTGTTTTGTTGAAGGCAGCTTTCTATGGTCCAACACATACTGGCACAACTTTCAGAATTACCATCTTCACCTTGCTGGAGTAGGATCTTAGGTCTGTTTGAGCATATTTTTAAACCTTGATCCCAATCATGTTTTTG